ATCATTTTTTCTTATGGCAATTAGAGTGGCAACATCTCCCCCTAATATTTTTTGTTTTCATATGGCATGTCCACTTCTTTTATGTGCCAAAGATGTGGCGTGGCTCAAGAAATAGTGATTCATATTCTTTGTGATTGTGTTTAGACTTAGAATATTTGGCGGTAACTATATTGTCTAAATATATCCATCGATTTCTTCTCGGCTTCATGGAAGGATTGGTTCTATAACAATGTCTTTTGCTTTTATATTCCTTGACATCAATGTCGGATCTTTACTCTTACATGCTGAATTATTTATTATGCATGTAATAAAGAAGTTATTCAAGGCATTCTACTTATTTTTAGATGTCGAGTGAGTTTAATTCACTCTCTAACTCATGATTGTGTTTTAGCTTTTAAATCTTCATCTATCGGTCATCGACCTATCTCGTAATGCTAGCCTTCTTGGTTAGCTTCCTTTTAAGACTTAGTTAAGTGTAATACTAATGGTAGTTTTCTATGCTTGACTACCCATTATTGGGAATGAAGGTCTTTTCCTATACTATTATCGTATATGAAAAATTGATTTTTCAAGTTATCTTTGGGCACTCATCTATTATGATAACGAGTTAGAAGTGGTTCATCGGGATCTCATTCCTACTTGGGACTCGTGGCTTTCAAAAAGTGACCATGAAGACCGATTCTTAAGAAGCGATTAATGTTATCCGTAATGGTGTTCTTCAAACTCATCCCTACTATAACATCATCATAGACATCTATTGTATGTGCCAAAGACAATAGTGGGTGTCCTTTGATCATACTTTGAGGAAAGGTAATTGGGGCATCAATTATTTTTCCCATATTAGTTCATCAAATGACACTCTTTTTTAGTGTGGAATCATCCTCCATCGAGTATTGGAGACATTTTGTCTAGTGATGCTTCGGTGTTTGTTTCTTAAGGCCTTAGCTCGCCACCCTCCTCTATACCAAAAAAATAAAAATAAAAATAAATAAAGAGAGGAACATACCTCATTTACCATTATACCAATTACGTTGGGCTTTGTTTTGCTAAACTATTACTTATATATATATATAACTTTATGGCTAGTTGATAAAGCTATCATTTTAAAAGGTTTGTCTTGGGTAGCAATTGGGTTATGTTTTCCACCTTATCATTCATTTGATTTTTTTTTGCTTTGTTTAAGAGTAGATCGTGAAGAAATAAATAAAAACAAAGACACGAGTCATTTTTTTATTGTTTAAAGAAAAGCATACTTACTAGTAATAAGTAATGTGATAACAATAAAAACAAAGATCGACATTAAAGAGAAATTATTTTGTAAACCAAGTTCATCACTTAAAAATTATAAAATAATCAATTATAGCACGACATGTTATTAGAAAAAAATGTTTTCCCTCTCTTTTAGTTAGAAAAAAAAATCATCCATTCATAGTTATTGTATTTGTATTTTAAAGTTGATGTTTCACAATTGATTGATACTCAATCTCAAATAATGATTCAAATTCATCCTATAGTTTTTCACTATTAAATTTTTTGAAAGATCTATAGTAAACATTGTTATTCTCATTCTAAAAACACAATATTATATCCATTAAGTTGTGCCTATATTGCATTTGTCTCGTGTTTGAAAAGCATATGTGTCCATATAATTTTTTAATAAAAAAACTATAGTTTTCCTTAAAAGGTTTGGGAATCGGGACCAAACAAACTTTTATGTAAACCATGGTTTTGAATATGTTTATTAAAAACTTTTCAAATATTATTTCTTTAATATTGATTGTCTTATTGTTTTCTTACCTCAACCAAACAATCCTCAACTACAATTCAAGTTCAAAAGATAATGTGATTTAGAATCCAATTCCTTTATGGATCTAGGATGTTATGGTTGATGATGATTTACCCCATTCGCTTGGTTGATCGGTCTTAGAAAAAAAAAAGAAGCTAATCGGTCAAGAGATTCTATAAACTTTTGGTTAAACCCAATTTGATCTCGCATTTTTCATTTTTTTTTTAATTTTAGTCTCTCAAATTGTCATATCATAGTAGTTTGTGTCCTTTAATCATATTTTGAGAGAAGATAATCGAGGCGCCGACCATCCCGCTCGTATTGGTTCATCGAATGATACTCTTTTTCAAGTTTGGAATTATCCTCCATTAGGTATTGGAGATATTCTATCTAGTGATGCTCGTTGGTGTTTATTTTTTGATGCTTTAGCTTTGCACCCTTCTTTATACCAAAAAATAAAATAAAAATAAAAATAAATAAAAGGACAAACATATCTTATTCACCATCATACCAACTCTGTTGGGCTTTGTTTTGCAAAATAATAAGTTAAGTATTACTTTATATATATATATATATATATAATTTTATTGTTAGTTGATAAAGCTATCATTCTAATGTGTTTGTATTGGGTAGCAATTAGGTGATGTTTTCCATATTCCGAGTTGTATTTGCTTCGTTTAAGAGTAGATTGTGAAGAAATAAATAAAAACAAAGCCACAAGTAGTTTTTTTATTGTTTGAAGAAAAGCGTATTTACTGGTAATAAGTGATATGCTAATAATAAAAACAGAGAACAATATTAAAGATAAATTATTTAGTAAACCAAGTTCATCACTTAAAAATTATAAAATAATCAATTGTAGCATAACATGTTATTAGAAAAAAAAATGTTTTTTCCTCTCTTTTAATTAAAAAAAAAATTCTTACATTCATAGTTATTGTAGTTGTATTTTAAAGTTGATTTTCCACAATTGATTGATACATAGTCTCAAATGGTGATTCAAATTCATCCTATAGTTTTTTAATATTAATTTTTTTTTTTTGAAATATCTATAGGAAACATTGTTATTCTCATTCCAAAAATACAATATTATATTCACCGAGTTGTGTCTATATTGCACTTGTCTCGTGTTTGAAGAACATCTGTGTCCATATAATTTCTTTCTAGAAAAAATTGTAGTTTTTCTAAAAAGGTTTGGGAATCGGGACCAAACAAATTTTTATGTAAACCATGATTTCAAATATGTTTATTAATCACTTTTCAGCCATGATACTTTAATATTCACTATTTTATTTTTTTATTACCTTAACCAAACAATCCCTATTCAAGTTCAAAAAGTAATATGATTGAGAATCTAATTCCTTTATGGATATGAGAAGTTCTGGTTGACGATGATTTACCCCATTGCTTGCTGTGACCACTCTAACAAAAAAACGCTAATCGGTCGATAAATTCTATAAACTTTTGGTTAAACCCAATTTGATTTCAAATTTTTCATGTTTTTTTAATTTTAATCCCTCAAACTGTCAGATCAAAATAATTAACCACCTTTGCTAAAAACAAATGACTGTAATGACTATTTTGACGAGTTAAAAATAAACCTAACAAGGCTGTAATGATTGTCTTCGCAGTTAATTGCTTTCATCTGATAGTTTGAAGGACCAAAGCAAAATAATAAAAAAATCTCAAAAGTTAAGTTTAATTTGACTAAAAGTTCAGGGATTTTTCTGACCAATTGGCCAGAAAATAAGTCAGAGGGCCTATGAATTGCAGACAAAACAACGTACAACTAGACGAGAGGCTAGAACACTGACTGCTATATAGAACACTAGAGTGCTAACCAACCTCCCATCATCAAAAGCCGCAATCAATCCTCACAAGATTGATTCCAAATTCAGTAACATTACTTTCTTTCTATTTTCTGATACATGGTGTCCTAACTTGAAGCGTTTGGTTTGATGGTTAAATGGGTTTCTTTCATTTTTTTTTTTTTTTATTTTGAATTCAAAGTATAAGATTATATTAGTAAGAAAATTTATTAATTTTTTTTAAATGTAAAAATCATATGTTTTTTAATTTTATTAATATCTTTCAATATTCATGGTGTTTTAATTTTATATTTCGAGTTTTTAATTTAAAGGTACAAATTAACTCTTACAAGATTAATGGTCCAAATATGAAACTAAGAGTAGAATTTCGAATTATGATTTATTTAAAATAATAATTTTGTAAACAAAAATTTATAAATTTTGTGTCTCTGTCTCCATCTCAAGAGAAACCATCCTCTTCAACAATTCTAAAGGCACACCCAACATTAAAATGGTGCATGCTAACCCTAACCATTATACCTACCATTCGGGGATTAGTGAGAATAAATTATTTCCTTTAATTTTGAAAAAAGAATCAATTAGTCATATATGTTTTGAAAACTAATTATTTAGTTTTTTATTTTTATATTATTTTTAACTTATTGTCATTTTGTTTTAAAAGATAGATATTATAAAAAAAATAATGGAAAAAAATTGAAATAAAATAATATTAAATAAAGAGCGATTAATATAGGTAAAAAAAACTAAATAATTATTTTTTAAAAAAATAATAAGGACTAATTAGTTCGTTTATTAAAACTAGGATGACTCATTTATAATTTACTCCGTCCCAGTCTGTCACTAGCAAGAAAGGAGTATTATTACTCCGTAAGCAACCAGCCAAACAAAACAACACAGTAGCCTATATGAATAGAATAAATTATAAAATACTTTCTCTAGTTTTGAAAAACGAAACAATTAGTCATTTTTGTCACAAAAATAATTATTTGATAATTTGATCAGTATTAATTATATTTTATTTAATATTATTTTATTTCAAAAAATATCTTATTTACTCCTAAAACTTTACATAATATTTATTTATCTTTTTTATTTTTATATTTTTGAAAAAAAAAATTATAAAAGAGCATTTTACAAAAAAACTAAATAATTAGTTTTTTTGAAACAGAGGAGACTAACTAACTCATTTCTTAAAACTGAAGGGACTACTTTATAATTTACTCATATAAATACCATTAAATATAACTTTTTCCATCTTTCTCAATCACGCACGCCCGGACCAGACCCAGAGCGGAAACTCAGAATCGTCCATTAAATAAACACCTGTCAGTATCATCAATCTTTTCGCTTTGGGATTTAATAATTAGAACTGGTTATTGGATTAGATGATGAGGAAGAGGGAGAGAGAAAACCCCTGCGGGGTATGCGGCCACTACCACAAGTACGAAGAGGGTGAGGTTTGTGGGATTTGCGGCCACCGTATGCCTGAATCCACCGCCGATAAGTCTCCTTCCCTTCACCTCAGCGCGTTTCCTTCTCAGATCCTCCCCGACTTCCTTTTCTTAGGCAGTTACGACAACGCTTCTCGATCCGAGCTCCTCAAAACCCAAGGAATTACTCGTGTACTTAATGTAATTAATATATTCATTTCCATTCGGTTTGTTATTATTATTATTATTGTTATTTTGTCAAAATCCCTAGTTTTCTGCTTTGATTTCGATTGTAGAGTGCACTGTTTAAAACTTCTGTGCCTGTATAATTGGATGAGATGAATGGATTGGATTCATATTTTTGTCAGTAGAGGATATAACTGTTAGGTTATGGAATCCATTAATTCATCGAGAGTAGCAATTTCTTTAGTTTAAGATATTAAGAAAACAATTAGAGGCTAAGAGGAAGTTTAGCTGCTGAGGAGGTTATAAAGAAAACACAATGCCTAATGGCTTAGCTGGTTCTAAATGGGACTGATCTGATTGATGGGGAACAATGAATCTTTAAATCCTCTTTGAATGATATTGCTACTGAGGATTGCGCTGGCAATTCCATAGAGCTTATGTGTGCAGACAGTTATGCACAAGGGGATTTGGAGGTGGCCGTGTTGACTAGTGAGAGCAAATTGATTGAGGTTTTGTCTTTGATATTGTTTTTCCATAGAGAAGTGATTCACTATGTGTGTTCTCATACTAACCTTCTGGTTATTTCTCATTGCTTTTAAATTCTTATGGTGCCTTTGATTGGATTTTTTGCTTCATCTCACCAAAGTTTGAATAATATAACTACTTAGACGATAGTTAGCATATGAATTAAGATGAAATTGAAGATCACTGTGATTAAAAAGGTTAGCTTCAATGGAAATTAAACTGATTGAATTCTCTGCTCTGCATCTAACGAAATAAAATTACTATAAGAATTATTTTGGGGTTTGTTTATCAGGTTTCACTTAAGTGTCTTTTATTTTGTCGGTTTCAATTAATTGAAATTCTTTTCACGCCTCTTCAATTTTGTGGTTGTATGTTATTTATGTCAGCAGCAACTTAGTAGACCGGGTATGATTATAGTCTGCTGTATTCTTATGTTACTTGTTTTGTCTATTTGCAGACAGTTCCTGCTTGTCAAAATCTTTACAAGAATTCATTCACCTATCACTGCCTCCAAGATGATAAAATTTTACAATTTGATGATGCAATTAAGTTCTTAGGTGAGTCTGCTTCGATGAATTATCAATTGGTTTGTTAGTTTCGCTATTTCATCAAAATGACCTTTTTTCTTTCTAATCATCAAGTTTTTGAAGCCTGTTAAGTTTTTGACTTGATCTCACAAGAACTGGAAGCTGCTTGTTTTTCCTTGTGCTGTTGACAAATTGCACTGCTGAATGCATTAAGCATTATGCCATGTGCCTCTGGTGTTTCTTTGGTTTGCATATGGTTGTGAAAGTATTTAGAGCTCATAGCAAACCTCTGCTTCACTCCACTTGGACCTTGCATCAACATCTTTTGCTCTAATTGCTAAATAAAGTTTTCTTTAATTGCTTAATTTAAATGATCAATCATCTGAATATGCTCCAATTTGTGGTTCTTATTGTAGTAAGGTTTGTTCAGAATGCACCAATTTTATGAGGGCTAATGGCTATTGTTCTATCATCTCTTAGAAAAATGAGGGGGTAAAAATCTTGGTTGGTGATGTTGTGTAGATGCTTGACTATAGGAAAAAAAATTTCTTTGATGATGAACAGTAACCGTGACGGGCTAAACAAAATTGTAGCCCTGGTGCCTGAAATCATATTTCTTCTGATTTGAGAATTCACCTATGAATTTTTTTTTTTTTGAATAATTAGATCGTGGTCGACCATCATTTAGTGACAATCAATCAACAGTTTGGTTGTTAGATCTGATAAATTGCAATTTTGGCAGATTTAATCAGCATTTGTAACAGACTGCAATCCTTTTTTTTTTTTTTTTTCTTTGGGAGATAAGTGTGTAAAATAATGCATACTTATTTTTTGCAGAGCAATGTGAGAGGGATAAGGCTCGTGTTCTTGTCCATTGCATGTCTGGGAAAAATAGGTTAACTGTTTCTGCCAATTATGTTTGTTATCTTTATTATTTATTTTTTTATTATTTATTTTTTTTTTGGGTGAAATGGAAAAGTGTAACCTATGGGTCTATTGGGATTTCACTCTATCCCATTTCACATGACATCCTGGGGCCATTGTTAGTTCTTGACGTTTGTTTTGGGGGATCAGCAATGTATTTTATTGGCTTGCTTATGGAATTTATATAACCTTGTTCTTTCTGACAGGTCTCCAGCTATTGTAATGGCTTACTTGATGAAGTCCAGAGGATGGAGTCTTGCACAATGTTACCAGTGGGTGAAAGAGCGGAGACCACCTGTTGATCTAACTCAAGGTTAGCTTGCCATGATGCTGACTTGGTAGCACCTTTGTAGGGTAAACAATTGCTTTTGTGGTTAATATTGTGTGGTTCAAATTATGATTATGCATTTCTAGTTGTTACAGCGCTTGAGAGTCCTACTACTGAGTTTAGAACTACATTATTTATTCAAGTTTATAGAGCAGTGCCACTACGTGCTATGCTGTTTTTTTTTAAAAAAAAAAACCTTTCACCATCTCTCCTTCCCCTTTTCCCTGGTAAAAGATCATCTTGAAAAAGAAATAGAAACTATTGAATGATGAGCTCAAATAATTTTCTCTGGCAGTAGACAAATTCTTTCTGGTTTTGAGACTTTGATGTATTGGGCCAACTGCCTATGCATTTATCCGATATCCTTTTGTTTCCAACTAGAAAAGTTACTCCATGCCTGACTTTCACTTATGTTTGCGAATTGTAGCTGTCTACCAGCAGTTGCAGGAGTATGAGCAGAAGATTTTTGGGTCAAATGATAATAGCAACCCTGCCCTTCCAGTCTTCCCTCCTGTAGGCACACCATCTTTTAGCTTTGGCTTCCCAAAGGCCAATGATCCAGTTCCTGTCTCTGCATTCAACGGTGTTGGTGCTCCCTCTATTTTCACTCGTCCTCTAGAAGTTCCTCCACAAGAGTTCCAGTTTGGAGCTGGTCATCCCCAGAACATATCAGAAAGCTCTCTTGATACCAATTTGCCAAATCCTAATGGTGGAGATATTCCAATGGATTCATGAATTTGCAACACCCTCCCTGATGACTGAGCCTGCAAGTTCGGCAAGGACTGGAAGTTAAATGACCATTAAGAGAGCTTGCTAGAGTTCAAGTTCCAAAACTTCAAACTGAAAATTATACTTTTGGTTTGAGATATGGCGTGTGCCTTACTTCGTTTTTCATAAGTTCATACAAGAGTGTTAATTTCAAGAGTAGAAGAATTTTTATCATTTACACAGAAGATGTATGGGTGCTGAAATTGTGTTATCTCTGTGCTTCTCGCAACATTTTTTCAACTGCTGAAGAAAGGGGTAACCTTCCCTTAATCAACTTATAGTGAAAGGCAAATTATCCCTGGTGAATAGCTCATCCATAGTTTTGCCATTTGGTGGTGAGGATGTGTGCTTGTGTGTTCTCTACACATTGAAGAAATCATTTTTCTTTAACATTAATAGAATAACGTCTAAAAGCAATAGGAAAAAAAAACATATATTCATATGTTGTTGATTTTCGATAAGTGTAGTGGAAGTGATTACAAAAAAAATATATATTTTTTATATTAAATTAGGTAATTTTGTTTCCGTAAACATTAATAGAAAATGAATTATTGGTTTAGTTCATGCTTGACCAATCAGTATTTTTCTTTTTCTTTTTTTTTTTTTTTGGTTTGCTCTCAAAAGATATCTCTGGACCTATCTTTCTGGACCAACTTGTGTGTCAAGCCAGATTAAACCACTACTCTTCTAGATGATCATAGAAACTCATTCTTATAATTATAAAGATGCATTCTTATATCGATTTGATACACTAAAAAAGAGGAAAAAATTTATATCAATTTAGTACATTGAAAAAAAAAGTCTTACATCCATTTAGTGAATTAAAAAAAAAAAAAAAAGCGAATTCCTTTTAAGAAAACTTTAGGATGTCCGACCGCCTGGCCAACCCATTTGGGGCTCATAATGCAGGACTTGCTGAAAGGGGTTTTAAAAGAAAATTTGATTCACCCCAACAAAATTTCTTAAAGTAACCTGGTGGCTTTTCCCAACTTCTGGGTCTTGTCAATCTGCGTAAATGAATGCTAATCCACACAATACATAATTCGAACAGGAGCATCTGGTGAAAGATCCATAAAATCACCCCAGCATTATCTTATAATAACAGTGCAATGCAATTCTCGCCATTCTAACTTCCAAAATAACTTTATTCACAATTTATGTTCACTTGAAAAGCAGACATCCATAGTACAATCCTGCAGGTAAGTTGACAAACACAACACAATTTATACAGGGGATCCTTGCTTCAATGACTTCTAGGCCATGCATGCTTCAAGGGATGACTTGGCAAGCCACAACAAGCCTGGATCATTCCGCTTCAGCACTAAATAAGCATCAGCCTTCCCAGTTTCATCATAACCAACATCTTCACTAAATCCAACCACATGAAGAATTTCCACTGCAGCTGTAAATCACGAGAAACAGACAAGCAAACAAATATTAGTCAGCGACGTGGACCCTCTCCAACATTACCTATCCATCCAGGTACTAGTTAATTAAAACAAACTGCATGAGAAACAAACCTTGGTGGTTGGCAACATTTTTCTGGATTATGGGATTAGCCTAATAAAATGTACACCAAATAGTGAGTAAGAGATCAGACAAACGAATCAAAGCAAAATTCAAAGAATTTTTGGGAGACATTTTGGGTAACAGTCAACAAACCTTGCGGAGTCTTTTGAATTTCAACTGGTCTGGGTGTTCGATCACATTCCTGCCAAAAGTTAAAACTAATTTCAGCCTCCATTAAGGCATAAATATACTGAAACAATTATGATGGAAATGGAAAATCAGAGAATTCGAAACCAATCTGTGATCATGCAACTTGTCCCACACCTACTACTGTGCATGGGTGTAACAAATCCGGATAAGATGTGCTTCGATATGCCTACAGTCCTCACTGTACTAAAGAGAATAGCAAAATAAATCAAGTCAGACGGCATACCTAATTATCCTAAAAAGAGTTTGCAAAGCGGAGGTTGCTTCTGTGGCCTTCAATTCAGCTCTCAGTGTCTCAATTGCCTTCTGCAGGCGGCTACATACAACAGTAACAGGATCTTGGATTCTCCATAATTCTTGATCATCTGGATCTGGTTCATCAATTTGCATCCTAGATACTTCATCTGACACTGTCAAATCATCATCAGGATCAGGCTCAGCCTGAACTACTTGATTTGTTTCAGACTCGTCAGGATCAGGTTCTTTATAAGCTTTATTTAGATGGGGTTGGTCTTCAATGCTTTCAGTTACTAGAGAATCATCAGGGTCGGGTTCATCAATGGTTTTGCCAGGGTGAATACCACCATTCAGGATATCCATCATCTCACGGTGATTATCATGAGAATCATCAGGGTCAGGTTCATCAATGGTTTTGCTATGGTGAATCCCACCATTTAGGATGTCCATCATCTCACGGTGATTACCATGAGAATCATCAGGGTCAGGTTCATCAATGGTTTTGCCAGTGCGAATACCACCATTCAGAATGTTCATCATCTCATGATGATTACCATGAGAATCATCAGGGTCAGGTTCATCAATGGTTTTGCCATGGTGAATGCCACCATTTAGGATGTCCAACATCTCACGGTGATTACCACAAGAATCATCAGGGTCAGGTTCATCAATGGCTTTGCCAGGGTGAATACCACCATTCAGGATGTCCATAATCTCACGGTGATTACCATGAGAATCATCAGGGTCGGGTTCATTCTGGTTTTGATAAAAAGAATGTTCATCAGGATCAGGCTGATGGAGAGGTTTCCATTGAGTTTCATATTGATTTTCACTATCTACATTTTCTTTTTCTGCATAATCCTTGGTACTGGGTCCTTTACTCATCTTGAAAATTGAATCATCTGGGTCAGGTTCTTCATGTACTTCAGAGACTCCCAAATTGTTTGAAGAAGCATTTGCTAAACGACGATAAGCAGCAGCCACAGAAGATGCACGGACACTAGCCAGTTGATCTGACACAGTTCCCCCAAGCTTCAGAGAAGAGCTTCTACTGTCTGAAACGTAGAAATCTTCGCTGTAATGGTCTAGATGATTGACTCCACTCAAGGTGTGCCCCCTTGATTTAGTCCAATCTAAACTGGCAGCTTCATGGTTCAGCTGGCCCAAAAACACACCAGTTTTAGACAAGGCTATTTCAGTTGAACTTAAGCGGTAGTTATGCCCAATCATAAACATGTGTGTTGATATGCATTTGTACCTGTTTATCCAAAGCATAAAAGTTCGCATCATGTTCTGAGTATACCATGTGAGCCTGAAACGAAAATAAGAACAAAAAAGATGAACTCAATAACAATTAAAAAAAAATAACTTGAGAAAAAAAGGAAATAGAAAATTGATTATAAAGCTTACAAGTTCATGCAGAAGAGTTTTCTTGATGCTTTCATATTTCCTGAAACCCTTGAGGTCATCGGTTCGAAGACGCAGAGATATCTCCTCCCCATGATTCTGCAATGCCAAAACACGACTCAACAAGGAAAGAAAAAACCTATATGACAAAAGAAAGTAAAGTAGCCACACTAGTAATAATCTATTTTCTCGTGCTTTGAAGATGACGTTACCTTGTTCAAACCAAGAATGCATTTGGGGCTCACACCAACATAACCAACTGGGGCCATCTCAGTCAAAATTCCTATGCGCCAACGATGCTTTTAAAAATGATAATTCAAAAGTTAACTGCCAGGAATGATCACTTTGGTAAGATTTTAATCTGAAAAGATGTATCCAACAGTACCTTGTTCATTATTGCAACAATTCCAGGATCAGCAGCAAGCATATGCATCCTTTTCAAAGCCTCTGAAGCAGGAGGGCTTAGCTGAAGCCAAGCAAAAACACCGGAAATTAATGATAGTTTATTTTTCTGTAATCTTGGAATGCCAACAGATTCAGAATGTATACCAAATTGTTCCATGCCTTCCATAAATGGTATTCTAGCATACAAGTTTGACCACCTAGCAGCTAGAATAAAAATTCACAGTGGATCTATAAGAAAGTACTGGGTCATATTTTAATCCATAATACTTTCATGTAAAATGCTATAACATAGGACATTATGATGCCAAAATTCACTATCAATGACACAATTCAACTCTTTCTCTGCCTAAATTTTGTCTATAATATATACTGCATAATTGGAAATCTAATAATATCTTTAAATTTAAATGCTAAAAGTAACTGGCACAATCAAATGCACCTCAACTCCAGGAATTTGAAGTGTACGAAAATCACAAAAGATATAAGGTCCTTGTGGAAGTTTAAGCTTAGCATGAGGCCTATCTGAAATTCGCTGCCTCATTCTTTTTTCCTCTTCATCAAATCCAGCGATTCTCAGGTCAACCTTGGCATTTTGTAGAAATTTATCAACTTCATCTTCAGACACTCCCATCATTCTGATAGACTTTCCCTGAGATAGAGGAATGTGCATCAATGGCATCACAAGACTTGATACAATAGTTTTGGCATATGCTTAGAAAGTGATAAATTAATTATGCAAAGATGTGCAAAAATCAATGCTAAATATTCACTTTAAAGTTTTATCAGCCACCTTATACTTAGTTTGCTACATTCTTGTAACCTTTGTAACAAAAGAAATTGGGAAACAAACAGAATGATGACCAGGTCAGTCCTAGATAAAAATACATTAATCACACAAAAATTTTGTTCAGATAACAAGGCCAATTAGCATGTTCCACGGCACAAATGCGGCACAAGCAGCTAGAAAAACAGCAGTAGAGTGATGACTACCTCCATAATGGAAAATTCTTGTAAGCTTAGGTGTGAGTGTTCATCAGAGAAAGGGAACAGCAGTTTTGAGCTTTTGTTAGAAAGTTGCGGAACAATGAGTCGCATGGTATCTGCCTTGATATCTGTCAATTTCTGCAGTCCATCCCCTAGATCCTTGACAGAAGCATCTGCGTTCATTTCCACAATATACTTGTTCCTCCTCCATACAACTGTTACTTTAAACATACTTTCAGCCATTCTGAAATTGTGCTGCAGAAACAAAAACCAAAATTACGCAAGACAACATCTTCTTAACCATGCATGACCAAGAAATTTCAATCCCACCAAAAAGCCTATAATTCACGCCAATAGATTCGATTAATAGTCTACAGTGAAATACTTGTTTACAAGGCTAACTCAAAATCCATAAGTGATGTTAATTCTCAAGCAAAAGTTCATTAAAAACCTCAAAACTAAGTTCAGAAGCCATAAAAAAAAAAATATCATTTTGATTCATAACACAACTGCTTTGACAGAAAAATAAACATATTCAATTCCAGACCTAGTATGGATATCTGAGACAATAAATTTTCTGTAAGAAACCAAAAAAAAAAAGACAATACACAGAAAGCTCTACCTATCTTCAAAAATCAGAGAAGCCCACATCAAAATCTCCAACTTAAAAAACAATCAAGAGTGCCCTACAAGATCTAATTACTAAAAGATACACACATAAAAACTTCAAACTACAAACTTCAAATGAAATTTAACCAGGATTGGCACGCAAGAAAGTTTAAGCATGGTCAAAATGAGTTCAACATCATTTCAAAAAGCTGATTAAAGCATCAATGATTCCGGAAGAAAATGAGACAATTAGCAGGTATTGAACAAGACCCAGATTGAGATTTAGTAAAAGATTCAATCTTTACCTCTTGGTGTATCGTTTGTGTTATGTGGTGGTTTCTCTCTCTCCCTCTCTCTCTCTCTCTCTCTTTTTTTTTCAGGATTCCAAAAGTTGACTGCCAGATAAAAATAAATTTAAAAGCTTAAATTTATTTGCTTATATATAGAATGTGGCGTAGGATATGAGACGGCGCAGTTTACGCGTTAACAAGGTAGAGTCCTGCTAAAGTAAGCGGTTCGTTATGGTTTATTCACTTTCTTTCGTCAGTGCTGTCGTATGGTATGGTGGGATAAAAATCTAGACTAGGGGTTGTTTGGTAACTGAACATTTGGACACTCTTTTCTTCCTACTTTGAATTTTTATTTATTTTTTTAAAAATAAAATAATGGTTTATAAGTTAATAACTTTCGGTAAATATAAATATAAAATTCATCGAATTTACCTTAATATTTTTCTATTCATTAATTTCTTCTTCCTTTTTTTTTTTAAATGGACTCAATGATTTTTTTACTTTTTTTTGTTCGATAATAAAAAATATTCCCTACTCAGCTTGTACGTGAATTGAAATCGAACATTTTTCTTACAATTTTAAAAACATGTATGATTTCGACTTGTCCAGTTATACCTCATTAATGATGTATGGTAGGAAGTCGTATGATGTAGATACACGGACCTACATGCTTGCAATTGCCAATGATCCAAAATATATATATATATCTTGCTCATATAATTCGCAAATGTATACAAAATTTATATGATAAATAAGTTAATTTGTCTTTATATAATATTTTGAATTTTCAATTTATTTTTAAGTTTAAAAATAAATAAATAAATAACTATTGTAACTAACTGTTAGTCTAGAATGAAAAATCAGTGAGTTAGTAAGCTAGTTAGCTTAGTTGGAGTTAATTAGCTTAACTGAAGTTAGTTAATTAAGTCAATTGGTTTATTTTGTTTTGTTAGCTTAGTATATATACAACTACAAGCTTGTGTTTGTTCTTTATGTAACTAACGAGAAAAGAAAAAACTTTCACTCGTTTTCTCTAATTCATTTCTTTTTACTTTTCTAAAATTTATAATATAAAAAGGATACCTTTCCATGTTTGTGAATGAAAAAAAAAAAGTACAATCCTAGAATGATGGATTACTGATTAATCCCTGATAAAAACTATGACACGATAATGATATATTGATTTAATTATATAAGCCAGTTGAAATCCAAAAATATCTATAGAATAATAGAGCAGTCCATAGAAGAGACGAAAAGCAGAATATTTGTTGGATAACATCAATAAGCACTCCAATTGATAAATGGCAGATGCAGGAGGAAGATGCCGTCTTTAGACTGCATTGGGGAAAGTAATCGATTCTGAACATTATTACACAATTTCAGTGATTCGAGAAGAGAAACTATCTGCTTAATTATTAGCCTTTAAAATGGTGGTGTTTCAGAAGTTGCTATAAATAAGTAGGCTATGCTCTAATCAAAGCTCACCAAACAAGGAAAAAAAAAAATTATATATATATATATATCCTTTAAATTTGATTTCCAACAATAATTAATATTGAGTTGCAAAGACCAATAAAAAATGTGTTGCTTATATCAGTCGAATATATTGGTGGAATATGTTTTTCTAAACACAGGTGATAAGATTTGAATTTAAAAAATTAAGAAACATAGCAAATTTTCTTAACTACCAAATATATCAATTTTTTTTTTTTTTTAATTTCATTTCATTCAATAGATATCATTCCACATGTCTTGACAAATTGTCAAAATTAACTTTGCTATTGATGGTTGTATACAGATATTGTTAAATAAACACATTCTATTCTTCTTAATTAAGGATTGCTCAAGATTCAACGTGATAGCTCTTTGTAGGGAGCAATATATGGTTTTAGAATGGAAAGCGAAATGCAACGTACTTACTGAATTTTACGTACGAGCAAGCTGGAACGTGGAGGGAGCAACCATCACTACACTTACACTGAACAGGATCCGATTCCTCTGCATGATCTCAAAACTAATAGAATCTAGTAAGGAGGATTGTGCCCTAGGCCCTAACTAGTGTGTGTGTGTCTATATATATATATATTCATTCTCAGCTTCTTTTAAGTTGTGATAAACCTTACTGGTTTGATTACAATGCTGTGCCTTGTCCAGATAGCTGCACTACAAACAAGACCTGAGAAATTACATAGTTTAGGGATGAGAAAATAATTTTTAGATGCATGCTGTCGTAGTAACATTATTCAACCCTGCAACGGAAACAAAGCTGTTTATTAAAAATTTACAAGATGTGTAGTATTCTAGAGTATATAAACTATTATTTTTATAATTGATCCTGAACGTCAATATTTAGCATTCCTTATTAAGGTGTAATATTGATGAGTTTCTGATTTTCAGATTATTTAAACAGTTACATGTGGTTTTTTCTTGATTATTCAACCCATAAATGCAACTGAAACAAAGCTATTTATTAAAAATTTACAAGATGTGTAGTATTCTAGTGTATAAAAATTATTATTCTCATAATTGATCCTGAATGCCAGTATTTGGCATTCCTTATTAAGTTATAATATTGATGAGTTCCTGATTTTCAGATTATTTAAACAGTTTTTTCTTGATTAATCGTAAGGTAGAGATTTATCTTTTATCTTGGAGCCTTATAATGTATGCCTACAAAATAAATCATCTTCTCCTTTGATAGTTAAATTAGTATGTGAAGGAAAATGTTTGACTTGATTAGACTTAATGATATATTTTTTAACCAATTTGGCCTGAATATGTTTATTAGTATGTTTTGTTGTGTGTATATATATATATGTAATGTGGAGAGTGTAAAAAGCATATTTTAACATCCTTAAATATATCATTTTAAACTTTTTTATAGCAGTTGGAATGATCAATTTACATGGATTGAGAACATATTCGTCTTTTTATATTAAGAGATTCTGGAAGTTGAAGATCTTTTTCAATGAATGTTTTGTGGATATTGATATAAGTAGCATTATTTTTGGATATTGATGTGTGGGATAGTGTTTTTTATTTAATATATATCTTTTATGCTTTTTTTTTGTCAGTAGAAGAGTGAACTAAAGTTGGAAATTGGTTATGAGTTTGGGGAAAGATTATTTCTAGCCCCATGTAGGCATATTTGGAGCAAATGGATCTCTTCTTTGCAATTTGACGAAGAAGCGCATAGCGGGTTTTATTTTTCCGGATATATAAGATATATTTGCCAAAATACTATGCTGGATCGAGAGACTAAATCCACTCATCAATATTCAATTTCATTTTCAATCTAAATAAATTTGTTGAACACATGGGCCTAATGCATTCGGGATAATTAAAAAAAAAAAGTAAAAATTGATTTGAAATATTAAATAACTCTTAAGGAATGTTCTAATGGCACTCGCTAGCTGGACCCTAAGTAATCAGTACCAACAGCAACATGAAGGTAAATGGACTAGTCGCTAAGACATTAACTAATCTTTGAGCAAGAATACACCTGACTGTCGAGGATAGGAAAGCTTGCTCTGGTGTTTTTGTTGAGGCATCCACCATATTTGCAATATTTATATTTATGCCCCACTTATTTTATAGGAACATAATTGATTTAATTAAGGATATAAAGATATATCGTATAACGATATGATCCCATTATACAAGGACAAACTTCAAAATATTTTTCCTGATATTGATGTGCAAACGTGGGACCAAGATACCACTAGATTCACATAAAAACACATGTTATTGTAACTTAGCAACAATGTTTGGTAAATTAGTCCTCATGATTTTACATGGCTTAGGATAGTCGATGATGCTATCATACTTGGGGTGCAGTTTGGCAAATTCCATTCCGTCTGTTCTTCCAAGTTGTTTATAAATCTTTTTGAAGGAAACAGAAGTTTGATTACATTTTCGGCAGCAACAATCTGTTCTTCTTGAAGTTTCTTGTTATGTATTAGTTTCCTGAAATGAAGCATATTATCCTGAAGTTACAAAGCAAGTTGAGGAAATAGAAGTATCAATAGCCATAGAGTTGTGAGATCCTTACATAAGCAGTGAGGCTAGATTTGTAGGTGTGCATGCTTGAAAGAGAGCTTCGGGGATTATAGCTGAATCTGTGAGAATATTGGGAAGAGAAATGTAAGGTACCTTTGCTTTATATTGAATATACCATTCAGTTATGATATGGGCTCGATAGGCAACAACACATGGTAAGCGTGCAAGCTGCAACTCCATTGCCGCTGTTCCTGAAGTACATAATGCAATCCTGCTGGCCTGCAAGACATTCAATTCGGTTACAATGACGATTTTCACTAAGGATTAATCATCACTTCTTCCAAGTGTTTGCAGTGAAAATTACTGGATGAAAAGTTTTAAGGGTGTTATCAATTGAAGGAAATGAAAGAATCTATACATATTCCACCTGCCAGATGTAGGCTCTTCAAATGAGTATTCCAATGTTCTCGTATGGAGATTAGGATAGAACTCAGGGTGCAAACTGAAAATCAGGAATTTTTTTTTTTTTTTTTTTTACCAAAGCCCGTAATTCAATGTTTCACACAATAACCATATGCTTTAACCACAATTACCTTGAGCTTGAATACACCAATAGAGAAATTAGGTACCCTCTTGTAGATCCTAATTGGGCCAAAATTCTAATAAAACACACGAAAAAGTTGTATATAAGTTGTGACACTATTAACCATAATCAAGTTTGTTAAAGTCTCCTGACAATGCCACCCTCTGCCAGTTCTGTACAATGTATTTAATCCAAATCTCCCGACATATTCCCACTATCAATTAGGTTAACTTCTAGCAGATTGACTCTCTCTCTTCTCCAGTTCTTATTTCACCCATGCCAGTGAGATCAATTAGGAAATGGCAATCCTTTTAGTTAACTGGCAAGGAAAAGCAGGCAATCCATTTCACCAACAGCTGTAACCCCTTATTATTTCTTCAGCCATACATTTCTGATCTAAATCTATGAATGTTTTCTCTACGAGAAGTGTAGAAGGGCTTACACTGAACACATCATATTTCAGTTGTTGATGTCCTCCAGGAATCAATATAGCTGGCACAGGCCACTTACGAATGACTCCGTCGATGTAATTCTCCACATGCTGATTAGGAGCCACATGGATTGCGGTAATTAATTCAGGAATGGAGTCTTTTAACTGATCAACAGTGTGTGCAAAAATTGAAAGCATCCGGGTGACCTCTTGTAATCTGCTTCCAGGAAGCAAGGAGATGACCATAGCACCTTTAAAAAATGTAACTTCTGAAGTGTTAAAACAGGCTTAAATTTCAAAATTTTGGGAGCAGCTCCTAAGTAATGATTAAGAACATATTGGAATCATTACAATTTTTCAATCATCACAATTTTTCAATCATCTATAGAAGGAAAAAGTGAAGATGCCATCCAAGAACAAAGCTTTATCATGATGTTGATTATTGTTCAAGCTCTATGGTCAATTGTCATATGAACCATAATGGGATACTAACAGGAAGCATCGCTCAATGTAAAGTAGAATGCTACTTTTGAAATGCAGGAGATTAGACCATTTATCACATTCATTTTACCTGATGATAATGTGTATTTCCTTTGGAAATCTTCACAACTTCCTTCTATCTTCCAGTCATATGATGAGGTTTGCTTTCCCTAAAAATGATAAATCTTAGAATGTCTATGCTTAATCGACACAAAAAGTAATTTTTAATGGAAAACATACAGAACAGATCATTAAGTAATAATTTCCAAGAGTGCAGACCAGTTAGTGCACAAACAAACAAGATACGCTCTCTTAACTAGTTTCGGAACAATAAACGCAGAACCTTTATGCTTAAGCCTTTCACATGAACCTCAAAGAAGCCTAATTAAATATATTCTCTCTCTTAAAGAGTTAAACTGGATTATATTCCAAGGTTTATCGATTAATCCATACCGAATTAAATTCCAAAATGTCTTCCAGAACGGGATGGCCCACAAAGGTTGCAGCTAATCCATTTAACTTACAAACTGCTTCCTCATTTGGGAGTATGCAAAAGATGTGATCCACAAAATTAGTCAGGCCTTTGAGCCTTGCTTCTCCCCCTTTCCACGCCCAAAATGAAGGCGCCACATAATGAAAATGCAGAGGACTATTCAATCCTTGCCGACCATATCTAGCTGCAAAACCCATTTTCCTACAACATTTTGTATCACATAAGCAACAAAAAACAAATATAGAAACCAACACTAAGAGGCTAGTTCATATTACCTCTCAGCTGCTTTAGAAGACGAAAAGAAAATCCCTTGGAATCCACAGTCACAACAACATGAGGCTGAAATAAAATAGCACCCTCAATTGCTTCCTTCAATCTCACCTGAACGTTTACATTATTTTCAATTCCAATTAGCACTGATTCAAGTAAGGAAACAAAATGATGTTATGTATTTATGAAAACTCACTCTAAACTTATTAAGACGTGGCAACAATTCCCATATCCCCATCACTGAGATATCCTCCATAGGGAACAAAGATTCCAACCCTTCCTTGGACATCCTGGGCCTTAACAAAAAGAGGGAAAAAAAATCAATTTCAAAAAGTGCAATTATAATAGACAGCAGTCATGTTAATGCTAGGATTAAAGAAATTGCAATACGAATTTAAGAAACGTTTTTGTACTTGCTTACCCTCCAACACCAGAAAAACGAATGGGAAGAGGAGAGAGCTTCTTCAAAGAAGCCATAAGGCGAGAAGCAATAGTGTCCCCTGAGACCTCCCCAGCAACCATGAACACTCTCAGTTCTCCATCTTTATCACCCACGTCTAATACTGTTCTGCTCCAACCAGACAAACACCTCGAAAAACCCATTTTTGCCCCATCATTTGCATTTCTTATGATGGCTCTTGACAACATTTTTCAATTGTACTGAGCGAGTATCAGTATCAGTACAAGACAAGAAGCAAGGAGGGAGTCATTGATTGATAACAAAGAACAGCAGCTCAGTCATTTGGAGAGACACCAGGAGAAGAGAGCGTTTAATTTTTCTGTCTGTCTGTCTGTTGGATTATGGACCTTGGTCCGGATTTGTGTGGGTTGAACCTCTTCATGGGCCTAAATTTCTGAGGTTTGTGTTTTGCTCTCGCCTCTTGAGAAAGTATTAAGTTTAGGGATCTGAATTAGATTTAGTGAAATATTGGGGACTATTATATTTTTTTCAAAAACTGAAAACCAAGCACCAATAGGCTGACGTGTACCAGCTGATTCAGTTACGAGCAGAAGCTGCTGCCAAAGTCTACTCGGTTTTGATGCATGTTATTTAAAAATCTATAATAAATTAAAATAACCTCATTTTATAATGAAATTACACTAACCTTTCAAATTTTTGAAAATATTGCAAAAGGTTCCTTTTGTATTCAAAATGTCTTCAATAGTAAGAAGAAAGATTTATAAATAGCAATAGTATTCTTGATACAAGAGTAAGTTTTGATAATATTTACTTAAATATGAAAGTTTTTTTGTCAATCTATCTATAATTTATCTATATCAATAAGTGAAAATTGTTAATTTCTTTTAGGGTTAATAAGCCACGAACACATGATTAGGATGGCGTTTGGTATGAGATTAAGAAAACGATAGTGAACTATTACGTACAAGGATTAAATTTTAGTGAAAAAAATTAAATTATTGATAATGATTTGTGATAAACAATTAAAAATTAATTTGATGTGTTTTGAGAAAAAAATAAAAAAATAAAAAATTGCTTTGAGGCTAAATTTTACCTTTCAAAACCACAAATTTGGAGGTAATGATTCCAACCTTAATAGTTCGCCTCCTTTACATAAGGAAAATTCAAGCTCTTTTAACTCCTATCAAACATAATTTAGAAGTTATTTAGTTTTTCAAGGATAATACTTTGACAATTGACTAATTATCTAACTATAATCATAGATTAAAGTTCTCGAGTTTCATTGTAGGATTTACAAAACAATGATTAGAGGGTCACTTAGTTTTTTTTTTTTTTTTTTTTGTTAATGGTAATTGGGCACTTTAGCAACTGAGTAACAAGTATACATTAAACAAATTCAATTGGTATTATTGTTCTCCTTTCTAAAAAAAAAAAAATCTCAAGTTTAAAATTCTTTTTTTGCAAAAAAGAATTGTGTGTGTATATATAGTTGAGTTTCAGTTGCAGGCTTTATAAATGTTGGTATATAATTGGAGAAATTTTGAGAAATAATTTGGCAATTCTCCCATGCGTAATTTATTTGCAAGGCTGCCATTGTCTAATTAAAAAAATTATTATATAGTTTATTATTACTTCTTGTTTGACTTTGATATAAAGTTATGAATCCTCAGAATGAAAAATTACCACATTCCATGACAAGCATTATCATATAAATTTTCGTTAACCTTTTTATTATAACTAAATCTTTTATGATTGTAACAAATTTTCTATTCTACGTAACGAGTAATTAAGAGCCCATAAAAATATAACTACATGCAATTAAATTAATAGCCCAAAAAAAACAAAAGTTGAGTAAAGCTGATGCATTGGGAAGCTTGGTTGCCAATACACATTTAAGTTAGTATTTGGTATGGGGTGAAAAATTTATAGAAAAAAAATGTTAAGAAAATAAGATTTAAGAGTGAAGTGTTAAGAGTGTTAAAAGGTATTAAAGTGGTGAAGTTTTAGGAATGTTTGATAGGAATTTAAAATTTTATGAAAATAATGGGTTCTGATGCGTATAAAATCAAAATTCAAATTAATAATCTGTATTTGTGGTCTAAAATAGAAAGTTGAAGTTAAAAATTAGTATTAAGTTGAAAAAAAAAAAAAGGAAAAACACCAAAAATCAAACCCCTTAACAAATTTTTACTCTCCATCATTGAAGGGTAACACTTACCCTCATTTTTGCAGTGAAAATGTTGCCTTCATAATTTTTCTTCTCCTCAAATTTTATGTACCAAACAAGAAGAAAAGGGTGAGAAATTACAAGGGTAACTTTTCACCTCAATTCCTCTCATATCAAACACAACTTTAAGGTTTTTAAAACCATAGGACTCCATGTATTTTTAACTATTGTTCACACACAGAACGCAAAATTTTAATAGGACCCATAAGCTTTTTTTTTTTTAATCTTTTTTTCTTTTGTTAACTTCTATTAAGAATAATTACTCAGTCCTAATGTTTTGAAATCTATTTATAACTTAATTATTTTTATGTTTTTTTTCAAGAAATAGAAAAAAATACGATGAAAAAAAATATTTTTTAAAATAAAATAATATTAAATTAAATATGACCATTAGACTCGTTAGTAGATAAAGAACAAACTAAATAATTTTTAAAACTAAAAAAAATAATTTGTAATTCATTTAATTAGAGATAAACTATCCATATCGAATTAGCTAGGAAATACATGAGAATTTTAATTTCCAGCACTAAGGAATTTCATCGAGGCTATTGAGCTTATCTGAGACAATACTTAAGGAAAAGAAAATAGAGTAAATTATGTAAAACCTCCTGTAGTTTAATGACTGTTACACTTTACATCCTCATTTTTTTCACATATTAAAGACAACATCCTCAAATAACATAGTTATTGTTTAGGTCATCGAAAAGTAGAAAAAGACCAAAATGCCTTCACATAAAATAAACGTGTCAGTCTATGGGACCATTCTCACTCCCTCCCTCACTCACCCTCTCTCTTCAACCCGATCTCTCTCTCTCTCTCTCTCTCTCTCTACACCATCAAAACCCAAAAAATTGTAACCAAAACCATCTATGATAGCTTTCCGATGATGTTGTCAGCTGTGTAATTAAAGCTAATTGCGACGATCTAGCGATGATTTGCTATTTTTGGCTGAAATCCTGCTGCTTCTCTTGACAGCTCATTTTTCCCTATTTTTTTTCTCTCGTATCGTTTACTTAAGGTTATTTTTCCTTGAATGTTAATGGGCTCTGTGTATTTGGAGCTAATGAAAGCTCGGGGAGGCTTGAGGTGAATAAATATGAAAGGTTTTGGCAGGTGGCTTATTGGCTGCAGACCTTGCTCGAAGTTTACCTGTATTCCATGTTCAGCATTTATAGTAGCTTGGTCCCCTAGATTTTTTTGCAGGACCGTAAGTGTTCATGAAAATCTATTCTCCGAAGTCGTGAGAATAAAATAAGGCGTATCGTTCAACTTAATCCCTTTGAAATTGCTCCTGGGTTTGACAAAATCGGTACGGCCTTGTGAGAATACTTGTAGCATGCATACGGATCATATGCTAATTTGTCTGATCATAACTATTTCGAGCTGCCATCACGCAAAATTTTGTTTACTATTAATCCCATCACGCTTAAACTATTGATCTTCCGATATGTAACTTGGGAAAAAAATGAGCAGTTGAGCTTGTTAGACGATCAAATTATTGGGAAAGGAGAGTGGATTCTGTGACCCAAAGACCAGTTTGATCTTTAGCAAAAATGTAATGTGCTTGAGCCGTTTGCCTTGACATATAGAAAAGTGTGAATGCAAAAACAAATGAAAATTGGAAGCCTCAGATGGATGGACCATTGGGCTCATCTCAATTATGTAGGCTGCTTTTGGTTCACATATCTTCGTTGTTGGAAACGTCAAACTGACTTATGAGCTATTATTATAAATAGAAAGCAAATGCAGTTGGATTGAGTTATCATTTCTACTAGACTTGAAATTAATTATCGACCTTGTTTCTAGATTATGTGGCTCAGCAATGTACAGCATCACTCAGGTATCCATGGAGGGTAGTTGAAGCTTAGGTCAACAATATTGCAAATCTATAGAGAACGCACGCATCCAACTAAGTGCGTGATCCTTTTAAATCCAAGAAAAAAGAATTAGTCTTAATGGACAAAAACTGACCATAAAATTACATGTGACATCGACTTTTAACGTCAAATGGATGTGTTAGCCGAAATTAAACTATAGGATATTACGTGAAGTTATTTTACCAAGTATGTATATATGGTGCGTTGTAATTTCTTAAAAGCAAGGATGTGTATTGCCGCCATCAAACTACAGGCGGTTTTAGGTAATTTACCCTCTCTAATTGATACCTAGATGTGACTACTTGACAAGGGATGTCCTGACGACAAGCTACCGAGATAGAGAAAGCTTCCAAATATAGCAGGAGTGCAATGGAATTAATAAAGGTGCCATGCCAACGCCTATCTAATATAGATTCGGATTTAATCTTGTTGTATTCACCCTGATGATGACGAGACCTCCTCCTTGAAGCCAATCGAATAAAATGTTGCCTGGCTAAAGAGTTCTGAATGGAAACTAAATCCTCAAACTTCATTGAAGTGTATCAGTGACAGTAAAGCTCATAAATGCAGCACTTAAATAGAATCAACTTCTCTGCTGGGAAACTTTTATTGTTTTCCAGGTCACGTTATTCGGGATATGCAATTTCCCTGCCCCCTTTAAATGTCTCAACTACCATCAGTCTATTTCTTAATTTTCTTCCAACTCTGGTTTTATGCTGCACCTATATATACGATTAAGTGTTCTTTTAATGGTATGAGTGTTTTTTTGGTCGGTTTTCGTTTATTAAGACTAAATTTTGTTTCCGAATTTAAAAAGATCACACACTTAGTTGGATGCGTGCGTTCTCTATAGATTTGCAATATATTATTGACCCAAGTTTCAACTACGTACCGTCCATGGATACCTGAGTGATGCTGTACGTTGTTGAGCTAGAAACCTAATTTGGAAACAATGTCGATAATTAATTTCAAGTCTAGTAGAAATGATAATTCAATCCAACTGCATTTGCTTTCTATTTATAACAATAACTTATAAGTCGGTTTGACGTTTCCAACAACGAAGATATATATGTGACCCAAAAGCAACCTACATCATTAATTGAGATTAGCCAAATAGAAGACTTTGATCCATTCATTTGAGGCTTCCAATTTTAGTTTGTTTTTGCATTTACACTTTTCTATATGTTGAGGCCAATGATTCAAGCACATTAATGACATTTTCGCTAAATATTAAACGGCTCTTTGGGTCACAGAATCAACTGTCCTTTGCCAATAAATTGATTGTTTAAAAAGGTCAACTGCTCATTGTTTAGCGAGTTATATATCGGAATATTAATAGTTTAATCGTGATGGGGGATTAATAGTAAATTAAATTTAAGCACGGTGGCAGGCAGCTCGAAATGGTTATGATCAGACAAATGTTAGCATATTAGTATCCACGCTATATGTATTCCCACAAGGGCACCGTACCGATTTTGTGAAACCCAGGTGCAATTCCAGGGTATCGAGTTGAATGATACGCCAATTTTTATTCTCACGACTTTGAAGAATAGATCTTTATGAACACTTACGGTCTTACAAAATTATCTACTGCACCTACATACTATAAATGCTGAACATGGAACCTCTTAAATGTTCATTCAAGCTTTGCAGCCATTAAGCCATGCACCTACCAAACCCTTTCACATTTATTCCCCCTCAAACCACCCCTTGTGCTTCCTTCATGATGTTAATTTCCACATGCCCGTCTCCTTCTAAGATTCTTTTTAAAGTTACAAAAAAAAAATCTAGAAACCACAGAGAAATGGGGTACATGCATCTTCTTTCTCTCTTCTTCACACAGATAATACTACTCCTAGTACTACTGCTAGTTGCTGAAACGACAGCCAAGGTACCAGCAATCATAGTGTTTGGAGATTCATCTGTTGATGCTGGAAACAACAATGTGATTTCCACGGTTCTTAAGAGCAATTTCCAGCCTTATGGCCGCGATTTCGAAGGTGGTCACCCCACAGGGAGATTCTGCAATGGGCGCATACCTCCTGACTTCATTTCTGAGGCATTTGGTCTCAAGCCATCAATTCCAGCTTACTTGGATCCATCGTATAGCATATCAGATTTTGCCACTGGCGTTTGCTTTGCTTCTGCTGGAACTGGCTATGACAATGCAACTTCTAATGTGTTAGTAAGTCTCCACCCAAAGCACAAAAATTTCCAGTACTTAAGTCACCAGGCATTTGAATTTTGTCAAATTTTGTTCTGGCAGGATTGTTCTTATGCATCTCATCAGTATTGTTTTAGTAAATATGGTGCCATTCAAAAGTCAATTAAAATTCATCCCTGGCTTATATATACTTGCAGAATGTGATACCCTTATGGAAGGAACTAGAGTACTACAAGGATTACCAGAATAAACTGAGAGCCTATGTCGGCAACCGGAAGGCAAATGAGATATTTAGCGAGGCTCTGTACCTGATGAGCTTAGGAACGAATGATTTCCTCGAAAATTATTACACATTTCCAACCAGGAGATCTCAATTCACCGTCAGACAATATGAGGATTTTCTAGTTGGACTTGCAAGAAATTTCATTACAGAACTGTACCATCTTGGTGGTAGGAAAATATCTTTAACTGGTGTTCCTCCAATGGGGTGTCTGCCATTGGAGAGGACCACAAATATCATGGGTCAGCATGACTGTTTACAGGACTATAACAATGTGGCCGTGGAATTTAATGGGAAATTAGAGCGTTTGGTATCACAATTGAAGAGGGAGCTTCCTGGACTCAGGATGTTGTTTACAAGTACTACATATGATATTTTCTATCAAATCATTAGAAGTCCTGCTGCATATGGTAAGCTCTACTCTTCTTTCACTAAAGAATTTTGATTGGTGACAAAATGATAAATAGAACTGCTTAACAAAATCGAATTTATACCGAATATATATGATAGCATGCATCATTTATGCATCCATTCATTGTGATTTTTTTTTTTTTTCCTATGCTTTTTACATAGTAGTAACTTTACTTGGATTGAGGAAGTGGATTGCCTCTAGAGTTATATCTAAGAAAATATAACCAGAAATTTAGTTTATGAACAATCTCGAGCCTTGGCTAGCTGGCTTACTCTACTCGACTAGGAAATTGCCCTCTTTGGGTATGCAATTCTACCAAAGATTTCTGGTCAATTCAACAACTTTTCTCTAAAATCTCCAGTTGGGTATGCAATCACAAATTTGGAAAGCAAACTTATTCAAACCTGCCTATAAGATAACCCTCCAACCACGGCCACAGCATAAGAGAGGAATAGTTAACTTTCAGAGACTCATTAGAGTTGGTGCTGTAATCGAGCGAAGTATCTCGATATCGAAAATTGGTTTATGTATATTAAATCCAACTCGACCCGAATTTGGATATTATAGTTTTTAGTCAAAACTGGGTTATTTACATTAAATTGAGCTCAACCCGAACTCGGGTATTATAGTTTTTAGTCGACCTTTAGCTATAGTTTTAGAAAATAGTCGTAACTAACATTTTCAATTGTTTACTAAATTGCTTAAACTTGTTTGTGAAAATAATCAGCTTTTAAGTTGTATTCGAAACTGATTTGTTTGTCCAACAGCAAGCTCAAATGATCTTTTTATTGAGTCAATCTGGAACAAGATTGAGTAATTTTGGTTTGTTTTACTGTCTTACTTAAAGTCATTGTAGAGAGTGAAATTTGTTTTTACCAAAAGTCGAGGCATTCTTTTTCTTCTCTTCTGGAACGCGGTCCAGGGTCCAAGCTTTTGAAAAAGATTTACTTTCTGACACTGATAAACACCAGCACCAACTGAACAAGGATTTCGTGGCAATTTTGGGACGCATTTCCATTTATTAGTTAAGTTTTCTTAATTGGACAGTGTATATCTGAGTTGGGCAACCATTTCTGGTTGCACATATGACTCCACAAAATTTAAATTCGTTAGGCTACATGATCTGCCACTAGTCTTGTTTTTTGCATTTTTGCATCAGTCATCAACATGCAAAATCAACTTTTATAGCCGATCAATGAGATAATGATAGAGGCAGCAAGCGAGGGAGGTTACACCTACTTCATCTGCACCTCATATTTTATCAGGTTCGTGATGAGAGAAATAATTTTTTATCCATCGTATTCAGTGCTTGCCAATTAATTTGAACAAAAAAAAAAAAAAGTAGCATTCAGTAGTTTATACACAAAAATAAATACAATTAATTTCAAATAAATTTTTTTAAAATCAATTGTTCAATAAATATATTTTCCGTAAAACTAGAAACATGCTCCTTATCCATTTTCCGTACCCATCTTTGTCAGGTAAGATCTCGTTGGAACAAGTAATTTTGTCACTCTTAAATAAACGAATTCACATAGAATAATTCTACACATAGATAAATTATCATACAAAATTTCCTCAAAAGTTATATAGCAATTACTTATTTTTATGTTTGACAATTACATAATTTATTTTTTTATTCAATTTCTTTTGGTCTAATTGTTAAGAGCGTTTTCAAATTAGTTCGTATGTTAATCAAAATTAAATTTTAATTTTGAATAGTTTAAAAATACATTCTTTACATCAACTCAATACATTTATAAAAATAAAATTTATCTGAATATGTATCTTAAAGTTTTAACTATAAAAATTTAAGAACGAATCAAATTTCTTTAATATTTTTTTGGAGTCTAGAAAAAAATTATGTATATCATTATTTATTATAGTAAAAGAGTTTCAATGGATTGCGGTTATATGATTTTTTCTCACATCGGGATTTTAATGTAAAAATTCATGTGTTGATTGTAGTTGTGTTTATTTATTAAATTTTAATTATTATTTATTGATTAATTTTAATTTTAATTTTAATTACACAAAAAAAAAAATTTAGAACATGTGGTTTGTGATTTTAGTTCAGAAAGTGCTTTTTCTATCCCTTATATGTCAAACTTAGTCATAAAAAATTTAGAGGAGTCCTTGTCTACAAAGGAGAGTTCTTTGTTTTGCAATTGCTAAAACCACCGTTTCAATCAATGAAGATAAAAATGCCTCAACAATAACGATTTCATACCTCATCACTGTAGTCGTTATTATTTTCACAATCTTCAATTAGGTTATAATTCTTTAAATTTTGGCCTTAAGCAAATTGTTAAGGATGCGGCTTTACTTGTAACTTGAACTATTTCATTAATTGATCTGAAATCAATCAAGTTTCTTTGTGATGTCGAAACATAGACAGTTACAAATTTTCTCATGTGAATCTAAATATACACCCAATATAATTCTTCTTAGACGCTGTCAGGGGTTTTTACCACTTGTCTACAAGGTATTAGGTTAGAGGTAGTCGTTAGAGAATTTTCAAACCTCGCCTTATAAGCCATGCAAATCAATTTTTCATGTGCCTCCTTTGAATATTCCATTGTCTTGTCCTGAACAATATGTTTATGGGGGACAATCATTGTTAATTTTCTTTTAGCTCTAATTATTCGATTTCTTTTCATGATGCAACAACCAATGCTTTCTTTGATGCTCCTACATTTCTCATCTATATATAAATATATATTTCCATTCTCTTTCATGTTCTCTCTAGGTTCATCATTCTCCTTTCGTGATTAAGTTGTCAGTTTTTTGATCTCGTCTTTCCATATGCTTAACACTAGTATCATCAATATCTCAAACATCAAAAAGAGCTAGTTCTGTTTGCAACCAAACATTCAAGCCAACTTTGTATTTTTTTCAAGGTGTTAGTATTCTGCAAATTTGACGTTCAACATAATAGCTTGGCTTCAAAATTCAGTAGTATAATCTTGGATACTTTGACCCTATTAATTCTTACTTCACAAAGAGAGACATACAAAATGGAGAGATAAACAAGAGAAATAGAGAATTGAAAAAATATTTTTGAACATAGATGAAGATATTATCATGTTTTATGAATCCGAATATGATTTTATTTTTTATTTTTATATATATTTTTATTTAAGTAGAGCTATAAAATAAGTATTGATAATTATTTGGGGAGTATTCTAAATTTTTTTCTAAATTAACCACTTCTTCAAGTAAAATAAAATCAAATGAATTAAAATTCAGAAAATTTTTGATACATTTAACTAAAATTTAATTTTGTATATGGTCAATGAGTGATTCAAGTTATATTTTTGGATGCATTTATTTATGCAGTGACATCTTTAATTTATTTTCTTTAGATTGGAACTCGTATAGCCAGCAAATTCAGGGTTGCTTTGACTTATTGTTGGGATCAAAACAAAAGCATGAGTTGACTCAATTAGAAAATGAACACACTTTCCCTCCTAAGAAAAAGAAACAGAAGATGATTAAAAAAGATTTTAAAAAAAAATAAAAACAACAAAGAAAGAAAGAAACATATCCCCCATCCATAGGTGCTTTTGCTGCCTAAACTTTCTGCTTATCCAGAAAAACCAATTGATGTTTAAATGTGGTTTTGTTTGTTGACCGGCAGGATTCCAGGTGACAGGGAAGGCATGCTGTGCCACAGGAACATTTGAAATGAGTTACCTTTGCAATGACCATACAATTACATGTCCAGACGCCAATAAATATGTATTTTGGGATGCCTTCCATCCCACAGAGAAAACAAATCAAATAATCTCCCAGCATTTAATCCCTATCCTTCTAACAGAATTTAAGTATTGATGGATTTTGATAGTGCAGTGGTTGCGCTACTCTATACAGTGTCTCATGTTCCCTTCTTATTTGTACCAAATTAGCATTTAATTTACGTTTTGCATGATATGGTTGTGTTGTGTTGTGTAAGGTAATGTAATGAAGTGAATCGGATAATGTGATTAAGAATATAATGTTGTGAGATTGACACGACCACTACTTTTTTTTTTTTGGATTGTAAAACTTTATAGTAATATAATGAGATTAAAATTGAAAATCAAGTGCTTGAGAATTGAGCCCGGATGGATCGAGAGTAGGTCACCTGGAGAACGTCTTGACTCTTGGATACCTAGAACTTAATTGGCTCCACCTACCTTGATCCTCGGGAGCCCCGAGCTTAACCCATCACTATCTGGTGCTCTTTGGACATCCGATGCCCCTGCCTAACTTATCCTAACTCCTGGTCTGAATCCTCATGGCCTTGGAGTGACATTGACTCTGATAGGTTTGCTTCGATGACCCGACTCATTCTAGATCTCAATACCTGAACCTAGCTCTAACCCTTGCCGTTCTAAGCTTTATACGTTCGATCTCTTTATCCGGCCAAGCTTCTATATCCAACACCTTGGATTCGAGTTCAAGCCTTGGCATCCCTCACTCGACCCTTGATGCTCAAGGCTCCAGATTGACCCAGATCCTCACAGGACATTGGCGCTTTGACTTTTGTCACGGATTTGGTTTTTTCCAAACTTTCGTATCATACCTATTCACTTTCTCTATGCTCCATGTTTTATAAAATTAATAAATTTAGTTAATTTTTATTTTTTATTAATTCATATTAGTTTTTTATTTTTACTTGAATCTAAGTTACACAACAAATCAATTGAACTAATAATAAATCTAACTCAATACTAGTTGTAGTAAGGATGCACTACAAAAAAAAAAAGCAAAATAATTATAAAAATTAGCGACGGACATAAAATTATCGACAAACAACGATGGATTAACGAATGAGTAACGACTATTATCAATCCCTCAACATTTTGAACTAATAGCGACAAATTACCGATCGATTAACGATGAAAATTCAACGACCAAATACATTGAACATTGAATTAAGTGATAAATTTAATGATTTTAGCAATTATATATGTTTATGTTTGAAGTTTCAATTTGTACATAGTTTTATAATTTTTTGTTAGTTGCCTACTTGATTTTAATGTTCATGT